GAGAGGGCAGAAAAGAGGTGGATTGACGAGAGAGTTCAGAGAAGAACAAGAGCGATCCAAGCTGTCAGAAACACAGTTTAGGAGGGAAAATGAGAAGAACTGGGGATGGTTAGTCTGGTGGGTAGGAGACTCCTACGCGTGGTAGGAGTCTTTGCGTACAAAGCAAGAGAAAGGGCTTCATTCTCTGTGTTCACAGTGGATACAGCAAGGAATGAGGGATTTAAATAGCAGGCAGACTCAGACATTAGGAAAAGCTTTCCAATGGCAAGGATATTGCAGCACCGCAACAGGTCGCCCGGAGAATGGTGCAACCTAAACTAGTTAAACTTTAGACTTTACATAGGAACCGGATACTACCTTGAGTCACTGGGATAGATTAAGTGACCTCCTGGGATCACACTCATCCTATTTTATATGATGCTATGATTAAAATCCATACTGATCCTCTGCCCAAGATGCAGCAAGAGGACAAACTTTACAACTTAGTGACCAACTAGGAGGCAATCTGGAAGCTGTAGCCCTTCTACTACCATGCTAGGTCCTATACAGCCATCTCCTCATGATATGTCCTGTCCCAAAGAGCTCATCTCCTCAAAGGCAGGACCTCCAATGGACATGGTAAATGCAGATGCCATGGGAAAGGATGAGGCATTGCAATGCAGCATAGCTTTTGGCTCAGTTTGTGGGCAACCAGTTGCAGAAGTTGAAGTAATTGCAGACTCTTGGGATTTGTTCATAAGAGAACCAGTGCATTCCTCCTCCTTGTTACTGAGCATCAAGTGCCTGATGAGAGAGGGATTTAGGGAAAAGACAATGCGGAGATATCTAATACAAAATGATTAGCCAGAATGTATTGTTAATAAGCTGCTTATTCGTATAATTGGAAACTATTTGCAGCCAGGGTGTCTGTACAGTCTTTCTGCACCGCTCTGATGGAGCGAGGCAGGTAGGTCTGGCCCAGGGGACACCACTGCGAGCACATCCTCGGCGGGTGGGAAGGGGGTGGCTCCTATTCCTGCTTTACTTCTTTACTGCCACTGGCTTGAAGGGCAGAGAAGGGTATAGGGATTTCAGGGGAGGTGCAAGGGAATCTGCCAAGCCCCACTGATTGTTTCCCAGTATGGCAAGCACAAGGGGACATATCTGCAGGGCAGAGTGGAAGGACAGACAGTGTCCTTACAAGGGGTAGAATGAAAATAAGGCAAAGAAAGCCTGGAGTCAAGACAAATAAGACCTACAGCCTGCTTGGGCTTCCCAAGGCCGCTACCGGAGCTCGAACGAGCTGTGGAAGAGCCATGAGCGAGTCAGCCCCCAGCAGTGTGACAGCTATCGCCACAGGGAGACTTTGGCTGCGACTATGATGCGCACACTGTGGCCTGACGATTGAACCAGAGGTTTCCAAAGGTGGATTTGCTCGCCTTGAGGAGAGCTGGCTTTCTCCTGATTTCCAGGAGGTGGAATTCCCCTGGGAGGTCAAGGGAAAGGAGAGGAAAAGCTACAGAAGCCATTCCCCATTCCCTCCGTTAGCTCTGCCCAGTGCGTGCACAAACTTTGCACCACCCACATCTTTCCTTCCCTCATCTCCACTGCGGTTGAACTCAGGCCTGTGAAGTATCAAAGCTTAGAATCAGCCACATGGGCGTTCATGTGCTTCTCAAAACTGAAACTTTTTACCATTTTTCTTACGCCAAGGGCTGACTGATTGTAAATGATTTTGCTAGTGTGAGTGTAAAGCAGTCTTACTGAGTCTATCCCAGCTTTCTTCCAGGGACCACACTAGAAGTGCAGTGGGACAGTGGAGTGTGGCTTCTGTTGATGCAATGGGGAGAAGTGGACAGCTTTTCCCTGAACTCTGTCTAATGCCTCTGTGTCTTCTGAACTGACCAAGCTCTGTTGATACGGACAATTAAATTATACAAGCATCAATCTGGTTGTAAAACAGCAGTGAAGGATTTCTGCAATGAGCCAAGTGGTAAGCCACTAAGCTCAGCCACTTCCTCCTGCAGTGCCAGTGTGGGACAGGAGGGTACAGAGAGAAAAACCTTACTAATTCTCTGTTCTGCCTTCGACACTGCCCTTTCTCTGGTCTCCAAGACGTACATGGAGCTGAGATTCCTCCTGCTTCTGCTCTTCTTTTTTTCAGGTAAGAGAAGGGGTGAGGAGGTACAAGAGGCAAGAGGAGTTCGGGCACAATATTTCTCCTGCGTTTATCTAAGGTCTTGCACGTGGCATGATATTCCAGCACTGGGAGAGGAATTTTCTGAACGTTTTTTTTACCACCAAAGCAAGTTTCTCCTCAGCTGGAGAAACTCTCTTCGCAGCTGGGAAAGGAAATGGGCCAATTCCAGCTCCTATCACCTGGAGACTCTGGCTTGTCCAGGCTTGTAAGCCAAGCCACTCTGAGCACACAGAGTTTCTTCCTCAAAAACAGCTACAAGTGTGTCATGCATTCAGCACTGCCTGGCTCAGCTCCATCATTCCCAGAAAGGACTCTGTAGTCACTGGCTCAGGGTGTGACTGTCCTGGTGGGGATTCCTTCTCTGCACATGCAATATTTAATAGAAACCATAGCTATTTAAGGAGAGGCTAGATCAGGGTGAATCAAGATAGGAATACCTTAAAGCATTTATTTCATGGCTGTTAAATGACACTTATGAGTCGATAATTAAGATGCATCTGCAGGATCCCAGGAACTGAGGCACACCAGACTAAGTGCACAGAGCACTGCACCTTTGGTCCAGCACAAAGAGCAACTCTGAGGGCAAGGATCCCTATAAAAGCCCCTATCCAGGAAGAGGAGAGACTTTGGGAGGCAGCAAGGAAACACAAATGCATGTTAAAGAGCTGACAGCAATTCTGGAACAGGGATCATTCAAATGGCAGCAGTGTAATAATATTTACATGGGCCCCAAGAAGGGTCAATCCAAGAAGGATTGACTATGACAGACAGAGGACTGACATCCTCTTCCATTTCTTCGCCAAGCCTTTTATATCCTCTCTCTTCTGAAGCCTCTGCAGAGCCAGTTCAGGTCTATTAACTATTCCATAGCAGGAATATAATTCCATATATATTTATGTTATCTGTATCTCTAGACACAAAGCTGGAACAAGTATGAAAAGATCTGTCCCTGAGCACAGTTCTAAGCTGTAACCAAAACTAGCAAATTCTCCATCTTTCATTGTCCACTGTTTTCTGCTTGATCTACACATAGTCTGTTCCCTCCCTTTCTCTCAAACACACACAGACCCCACCAGCTATCCCGGGGACCTGCACAGAACTACAGCAGAACTGGCGCTGAGCCACACAGTGTGATTTTTCTGTCGGTCAAGGGACTACTTCTAAATCATGCTAAAGTAAGACAGACCAAAACCAAGAAATTCCCCAACGCTACAACACAAAGAGCAGTTTCTACACCAGATTTTCAAATACAGTGTCAGCACCCTTTAGTCGGGTAAAACTATACTTTAGTGCAAAACTGTGATTTTAACCCAAAAACCTATTTGCTTCCTATGAAAGATCTAGTTTTTGACTTAAAAAGTAAATTTTTATTATCCTTTGATAATATAGTGAAAAAATGACTTTGAAATAAGGAAAAAAACCCATTTTCCTACTAGCAGTGCAGAGTGACTAGGAGATAGAAAGTTCCTTCTGTTCATTTTCAGTGGAGGTGCTAAATGCTAGAAAGGTTGAAAACACAGCTGGGAATCAGCCCTCCTTATACAGCATGTCACACCCTCTTGATCAAGCAAATGGTCATAAGCTAGTAGTGAAACAACAGTATCTCCACTGCCAACGTGGTGGTTATCCTCTCACCAAGCTCGTCGTGATGCTGCGTGGAGCATTGACCGACTGCTGCTCGCCACTGCAGAAACACTGCAGAACTGGCTTCTGCAAATGCTCCACTATCCATTCTCTTTACACTCCTTTTCCCTATCCTTTTTCTGTCTTATTTACTGCAAGATTTGCACTGGCAAACAAGTAGGTGGAACAGGAATATCTAATGCTTATAAAAGCTATGCATATGACAAATAAGACTGCATGAAACCTGGGGGAAACATTTGAATGACACATGGAGGAGAAAAATTTAAGTGTGGAGGAGCTTAGACAGGCACTGAAGAAAGGCAGGCTTGGTCTGACCCAACCCTTCCTTACACCTTTTGGTTTTGGGGCTGTCCATGAAACTCAGGAATCAGCACTTAACAAAAAGAGGCAGGCACATAGAAACAGCTGTCCAAAGTATTGTTCCCCCCTCTAGTGACTCCCTGGAGAGGATATTTTTGTGATAATAGCAACGGCTAATTTTTTTTTTCTTTAAGTCACCCACTCATTCTGCTAACACGTGAAAACTTTTGGTATACAAACATCCTGCAGCAGTAAATTCCACACCTTACGCATGCATGGAGAGTTTCCTTTTCTCCTTGTCTCTATAAGAAGCAGGGTACCTGCTTGTTATACAACAGACAGTGAATTGTTGTTCCTGTTCTCTCTCTACCTGCTACTCCCAATTTTATTGACTTCTGGTATATCACCCCATGTCATTTCCTTTCCTGGCTAAGAAGTTATTTTAGTCATTCCTTGTACATAAGGTGCTCCTGATCTTTGTCTTAGTTGTTTTTCTCTGATCGTTAACTCAGCTCACCAATTCAGACCAAAGAGTCCTAATGTTTCCGTTAAAATAAGCTTTGTTTTGTTTAAGGAGATGATTATATTATCCTAAACTCTCCTCAGAAGGACAGCATATTTTGGATTTTTTTTTTAAACTCAGTACTCCAGTTCAGCCCAGCCCTGTAGCTAAAATACATGTGAATTGGATTATAATATTGTGCCTATTCCAGCTGTGGGAAACTGATTTAATTGGGCTTGTTAGCTGAATCTTACTGACCAGTTTTGACCTTTTCCAGAGACCCAAGGATATACAATTAGGGAGATGCAGACTTTCTCTGGTGTGTGCCCATATAACACACAAGATTACGGGGCTGTGCAGAAAGCCTGGTGCAAAATGACAATTGGGAAAGAATGTGCTGTCTTGGTCAATGCAGAAAAGACAAGCAATCAGTATAACAATAAAGCTCAGCAAGGAAGATATAGCATAAAGGATGACACCCAGAGGGGACTTGTCAGCATCACTATGGAGAAGCTCACAGTACAAGACTCTGGAGAGCATTGGTGTGCCATTTATGATCATTTGCACCTCTTCTGAATAATGGAAATCAAGCTGGCTGTTTTCGTAGGTGAGGGGTTTTTTTTGTACAGGAGAAACTAGTTTCTCCTCATTTCCTTTGCAGGAGAATGCACTCTCCAGGCTTGTTGCCCCACCTTCTCCACCCACTGTCTCCTCTCTGTACTCCTCAATTCATTTTATTTACTAGGCTACTCCTGAATCCTAGTTCCCTCTCTCTATATCTCATCTCCAGTTCCTGAGTCATACCAAGAAACCAAAAGGATGCAAAGCCAGGAAGCCAGGTTCAGCTGCTGCCCATTTTCACAATGAGCCAAGAGTCAGCCGTGTTACGAGTTGCTTTCCATGGCTTATTTCAGTACTTCTGTATTGTTTCCCCTATATTTAAAATCACTTCAGTCGTGCCTGTAGGGACGTTACGGTCAATACACCACCTCAGAAGCTATGCACTTGGCTGTCCATGCTGTTCTGCTTTCTCTCCTGCTGCTGAAAAAGTCAATCCTTCCTCTGAATGTGTTTTATTTGCAGATGAAACACCAAACACCTTTTCTACCGGTTACGCAACTCTTCCCTTTAACTCCTCTGAAACAACAACTGTCAGTAAGGAGGAAGAAGCAAAACGAAACAGGTGAGTTGTCCCTCACTGCCAGTAACAGGGGCAGCACAGGCCGGTCTGAACTCCAAAGGGCAGAAAAGGGCAAGTTCTGCCAGGGAACGTCCTCTTTTCCTCTAAGCAAGGAAAGACTCCCCTTAGCTTGAAGTGAATAAGAGGGAATTTGCTGACCTAATTTATCTCATGTTTACAAAACTACTTGACAAAGTCCTTCACAAAAAGGTGACTAAGAAGCTGTGACATTATGGAGCAAAGAGAATATATTTCTCAGACTAGAAACCGGCAAGCAGAAAAGAATAGGAAAACTGTTAGTTCACCGCACATGGCAAAAGGCATACCTACAGCTGTAACGATCCTGTCCCAGAAGTATCGCCAGAGGGAGTATTTGGCTGGGTGCATTTGTATCTTCTCATAAGACAAAAAAAGGAAACAACAAAAACGTCAAATGTAATAAATTCACACTGGTAAAAAAAAACCCAAAAAACTCTTGATTCTTACTGGGAACCTAGGCTTCTGAAATAGGAGGGTGCCTAGATCATTTACTTTATTTAAGGTATAAATAATGTTTCTAAGGCTATTTAACAAAATGATAGTTGCCAAATAAATATCTGCTACCTTCCTTGCACACCACGAGACAATGAGTCCTCACATGTCCCACGTTCAGTAAAAATCTCAGCACTGTTTCCCGTTCTTTATCCTCTTCACTGATATAAATGAGATGTGAAATTCACTTCTTTTAGCAGTTTTCTATATGGGGAAGATACTTCAAAAGCAAGCTGCAGTATACAAACTCCTCATGGTTTGGGGAGCTATAAATCTTTCCTACTGCTAAACTGGCATCAGCAGAATGATGCTTGGGACAGATTTACATTCCTTTTTGAACTCATCTGGAATCTCATCTTGAATACCAGTTCCTGCTGGATTCTCCTTTTGGATGAAGAAAGCACTTGTGTTCCTTGAAATCCTTACCCTCATTGCAGAAACCCTCCATCGGTCCAGGCCAATTCTGCATCCCTTTTTTCTTGTGTGTTTTGTTTGTTTGCTTGCTTGTCTGCTAGGTTGCAGATCATCCTTTGGTTAGTCATTGGAATCGTGACCAGCAAGATCCTGGCCCTAGTGATCCTAGTGTTCCTCGTGAGAAGGAGAAATTCCAGAATGCAGGCATCTAGATGGTAGTAAGAAGCAGCAAAATTAGTCAAAAACAGAGCCAGTCCTTTCTCACTAGAGCTTTTCCACTGGGGGAAGGTCATGAAATTGAATCCTGCTCAGAGAAGCAATGAAATAGAGTCAGACTAGACACAGACACCCAGAGGCATGCAGGGATTGTGCCCCCGAGCACAGTGGTGAGAAAAGGAAAAGGAAGAGAGGGGTAAAGAGGCCTGGGGGAGAAAATTGTGCACGGCTGGGGGAGAAAAAAGACACGGCTTCCCGACTTTTTCCCTAGTGGCTCTGAATGCCTCGAAAGCAACTCCCCCCACCACATGGCTCTGGGTTGGTGCGGCTGACCCCTAATATAAGGCCTCCCTCTCACAAGGCTCAGCTGGCAGTTTGTATAACTGTCGACCTGTTCCCTGCTCCTGGGAGTTTCTACAATGCTGTAAAGCATAGTAAGGTGTTTTCCCCGCTTCAGGAAACAGTAGCCTTCTCTTCTCCTCGCTGGAGTGAAGTACTTCCCTACATATAGATATTTCATGAAAGACCTTTCTGTCCTACCTTTCAGGGCAGGAGATATCAGAACAGGAGACAATTCTGAGAAGAGCTCGTGTGACACCCTGCAGCAACAGCATCTCTGTGCCCTGGCTCAAAGAGATCTCTTCCAGAAAGCTGGAGAACAAGCAAGCTGCTGCCCTCTGCCAGCATGACCAGAAGCAAGCCCTTACATGCCTTTCTGCATGTAGCACAGCAAAGCCAAAACCAACTCTGATGGAGGGGAAGAACAGCTTCGTTTTGCCTTAATTTTTGCTCCTTTTCCTCTTGCTCCGTCATCGCTTTCCTTCTCCAGCCCAGCCAACAGCCCTACATCCTCATTTACTCTTGAAAAAAGAGCTAAGGAGATGCAGGCTGAGAGCAGCGCACGGCTGGCATCTGCTGCCCGAAGCTGCCCTCAAAGCCTGGCTGGCCTCTGCCACCGGCAATCCCAGCCACCAGGAGGAAGCACGACACCGCTTTGTGCCTCGGAGCAGCTCCACCAGCTCAGCAGGGCAGAGGCTCACGCCGCACCAGGGACCTATGACATTGCCTCACCACAAATAAAACATGCAAAAGCCAAGTGGTTCTGGTTTGGTTTCTTCAGCCAGGCACTCTGGGGGGAGGCACCCGGCCGTCTCTGTGCATGGCAGAGCACGAGGCACAAGCGGACTGGCTGTGGTGGTGGAGCACTAGGACTACAAACAGCACGGCCTGTGGGAGGCTGCCCGTGGACACAGCCCTGGCCTGCTTGGCACTGTGCCTTTGAGAGGCCTTCCCAGCACAGCCCTGGGCAGGGGCAGTTTGGGAGCCCAGAGAGAAGGGCTAGGTCAGACTAAAGGGCCTGCTCCATCTCCCATGGCTCAGGGCAGGGAAAGGACTGCTCCGTTCCCACTGGTGCGGGGGGAGAGCAGGACAACGGCCACGGAGAGCAGCACAGGGCCCCACCCAGCGGGACGGGCCTGCAGAGCGGGAGAGCTCTGCTCTCAGCCACTTCCCCAAAAGCACCCTGAAACTAATCCTGATGCCAATCTTGTTGCAAAACATGGTGAAGGATTTCCGTGGGAAGGCAAGACCTCAGCCACTTCCTCCAGCAGCGTCAGTGAGAGGCAGGAGGGTGCACAGCGCAAGTGCTTTCCAACGGGGCCCCTTTGGGCAGCTCCCAGCAATGCCCCTTCCCTGGGCTTGAGGACGGCCATGGAGCTGAGAGTCCTCCTCCTGCTGCCGCTCTGCTGCCCAGGTAAGAGAGGGGCTGGGCATAGCTGAGGCTTCCCAGCACACCCTGGAGGAGCGGGAGACCCTTCCTCACCCTGGCCGCCTGGGGAGCTTTGCAGACCATGGGAATCTCACACCAGGATGACTCGAGCTGGGGAACTCGCTGCAGGGATGGGAAGGCAAGGCGACAGCCCTGATTCCTACCGCTGCACAGCTCGCTCCAGCGGCACCAAGGCATCCTGGGAGCACAGAGCTGCTGCCTCCAAGCAGTCACCAGAGCCTTCCCCAGCTGGCATTTCCCATGGCACAGCCTGGCCCTGCTCCGCTGCTCCCAGCAAAGGGGCCCACTGTAGTCCCAGCCTCAGGACAGAGCTGCCCTGGAGTACCTGCCTGCCTCTCCTGCCTTCCCAGCAGAAATCACAAAGCTCTCACCCAGTAGTAGCTTGGTGAAGTGGGGCAGGAAGGTCACCAGCTCCTTATTTCCCTGGCCAACAGCTTGTTTGTCTCTCGGCGCCCAACCCACACACGGCTGTGTACGCACAGCGCTCTGCGCCCTCCACCTGGGCACAGAGGAGCTCTAAGGACGACTCCACCAGGTGGGCTTTGCTCCCCTCTCCCTCTTCTTCTCCCTCTCCCTCAGCTCTTCCCACCTT